TTGCCCTCTTGGAGTAGTCTAAAGAGAGATTACTACGCATTTCCTTGAACTGGCTAGACGCAGGTGGTCAGATAAAACTATGACCTGACTATAACAGGGCGAAAACCTTGGACCTGCTTAGCAGATCAAGGCCAGAGGTATTTAGAATTTTAGCAACCATCACAGGCCACTGGCCCATAGGCAAACATGCGGCAAAAATAGGTCTACCCCATAATATGATTTGCCGCAGCTGTCAACTAGAAGATAGCGAAGAAAGTGTCCAGCATTTCCTGTGTGAATGTCCAGGCCTTTCGAACATTAGACACAAGACGTTAGGGCAGATTCATTAGAGAGTCGAAATGGTTCGACCTAGCAACATAGGAAGTGCATAGACAAGATATTTATCCCCCGCGAGAAGTGCATCAAAATGGCGCAATAATGCGCTAATTGTATCCTGGGCAGCGACTAGGAAGCACTGCAACCAACCAACCATCAATATAAATCAGTCGCAAACTTTTATTTTTTAAGTCGTACGTATGAAAGTCATTATCATTTTTCGCAGTTAAGAAGGTGCTGGAGAACAAAAGTTTACCACGACGTATACAGATGACTTTTATAAGTACGACTTAAAAAATAAAAGTCAGTGACTGATTTATATTGATGACTTTGAAAAGTAAATCACTGACTGATTTTTATTTATGACTTTTTTAATAAAAGTCTTCAATAACTGTTATATAAGACATTTAATTTAAAAATCGAAAATAACTGTTATTTGCAGATTATTTGGATAAAAATCAGATATAATTGTTATTTTAGATGTATAAAATAAAAAGCAGCAATAAATTTTATTTAAGGGGTAATTAAATAAAAGTATAAAAATAACTGTTAAAGAGTGATTTTTTAATAAAAGTCGTAACTGTTACCGCTCCTGTTCAGAAGCGTTCTGCGTTCTTCCAGTTGCAGTTATACCTTGAAATTTTTATTTCTGCAAAAAGGATTTTCTGGGTATTTACATGGGAAAGTGGACATTTGCAACAATAAAATGAGTGGAAAGTGCATCACCACGTTCAGACGCGCTTTAAGGCCAAGCTTAATATTAAGATTAGCTGTGTTTTTTACGAGAATGTATAAATCTACGCTTAACATATAAAAAACAAAAAGCCATCGACAATTTCCATTTGAAAACAAATACTTTTTATTAATACAAAGTTCTGCAGTATATGGAAAACGAATTCAAAATGAAACGAAATAAGTTTAACTCCCGTATTGTGGTACACTTCTTTGGACACTTTAACACCCTCAAATAGGCTTTGAATTTCGCCACTATTCAATCCTAATGCTTTTCCTAGCGCAATTAGTCCTTACACGAATTTCATAGTATCCAAGCGCTTGATAGTCAAATACAAAGTGGATTTTGCTCCACCCTATACACAATTTCTTTAGTGTAAATTTTTGCATTTAATCCAGGAAATGTTGTGTCGCGAGCTATCACTTTGTTCAGTCATTTCGCTCCTGGAAACCCTTAAACATTTTGATTTTGCATAAAGCTGCTTACTTCACACAATTAAATTGTTCATTGACCTACATACCCGTATTTAGTACGCTGTTTATTATACATTCACAGCGACAAGGCCGGAGCAAGTGTGTCTGTATTGCGAGGGACAACATCAAATGGACGGATGCCGGTTTAGTGACTAGTATGTATATCATTTGATTGATTTGCATTTTGCCCAATACCTTGGGGTATGTACTATTCGGTCTGCGTCATCGATTCGTTGTTGTCAATCGAGAATTGAACTAATCGCCAAAATGGTTAGACGACTGTCATCATACTCTACAGTTTTGGGTGTTTTTTTTTTGCCTCAGCAGCTGTTAAAATTTAAATTTCAGGCAAATAAATAAAGCACATACATACATACATACGAAAGGAAATATTTGGACAGGGATTATCATTGAGTAGTGAAAAGCAGCAGTTGAGTGCTTTTATGTTGATGTTAAAAGTTGGTCAGAGGCGAAATTGATTGTGCTCCTTCGTTCTCGGCAGTGTAGTTCAAGCGTTGTTGTGAATAGTAAAGTTTGCACTTTGTACAGAGCGCCTGACGGTTGAGCAATTCGAAAATATGTATAGTTCTAGGACTTCAAAAAAAAAAAAAAAAAAAATCGGATGGATTTTCCGGACTAAACGGAAGAAAGATATGGGTGTAGCTTAAAAACTTCTTCCGGTCCAAAGTGATCTATATTTGCAGTCAGGTAAAATAGTTGTATGTATGTATATTTAAAGCTTATGTGTAATTTTTTATCATCCCGCTTAAGTAGCATTTATGTACATACATACATACATATATTAACGTTATTTAACTAAAATGGATATAATCCAACTCTAAGGCAAGTAAATTTTCCATGAAGTTCGCTTGAAAATGTCTCACTGTGCATGTTTGCATTGTATTTAAATTTTGCAACAAACTTTGTTGTTCTTTCAGTTTTCAGTTTCGCTTAGCCTGTCTGCTTAAGTAATCCCTTTACAATTAATTTATGTACATTTCGAGCGTCCAAATTGCGGCGCTTGTACGTACATATGCATGTATGTACATACTTCATCTTAAAATGAATCCCTTCAGGCGAGGCATTAGAATAACATAACCCGGTAAATATTATCGATAGAAAGGAAAAGCTAATGAAAATTGAATTTCTTAATTTTCACCGAAAATGGTTATTTCTAAAATGTAATTACATTTCTCCGAGTAGACTATTATAGACATAATAAAGTATTTGCTTCAATTTTACAGCTAGTAGGTACATATATAGGTACATAGTTGAGTGGCTTGACTTTAGTGTGGGAGAATGAAAAGGAGTTAATTTCATGTTAAAGTGAAAAATTGAAAAAATTAATTCATAATGAATGTTTTGAGATGTTGTTGATTAGCAAACTTATTTTATCATGGAGCCGTAATTATGAAATTTATTATATTTGAAGACTTCGACCAAAATATTTTGGAAAATTTTAAATATTTATGTGAGTTCGACCGATTTGAAAATACCTCCAAAAATCGTGTTTTTTTCTGAATAAAAGTAGTTAATTAAAGGATTTTTTTAAAAACTCCCCTCAGATGATAAAATTGTTTAAGCTCAAAAAATCTGCATATAAATATTAAATAAATTTTTGAGACGGAATCATATATATTATGAATTTTCATACGATAGACGATACAGGCTTGCCAGCGTATCGCATGATATCAGTTCTCGTATTATCGTTTTCATACGGCCGACAGATATATTGTTGTGAATGGCTGTGGTTTTTGTTCACTTTTTATTGTGAACCAGCACAAATCAGCTACGCTAACTATTGGATTTCATACGACAACATTGATTCGTAATAGAAAATAACAGAATGCAAGCGTCTATCGTGCGTCGTACGAATTCATAATAGGGGGTATAATCATGAGATTATTGATGCTGCTTTTTCAACCTTTTCAAAGATTGCTTTAAGAAAAACTTTAATAATTGGGGCAACACTATACTGTTTCTGACTTGTAAGGTACCGTTAGAAAGGTATTTTTTCACTTTACTACCATATTATATTACTATAATTATTCTTAATGGGAAACTATATTTTTTATAGATTTTTGTATAGGATATCCAATTGTATAACGCGTTTCATGGTGAAAATTTGAAAAGAAATTTGATTTGTAATTTTTCTGAATGATGGTCATTTTTAATATCGTTTTAAGTCATCTCAATCTACATAGAAATTAACAATAAGAGAAAGGGAATTTTTTATTTTGCCGGATTATAAAGCGTTTTAGAGTGCTTTTTTACTCAAATATACATATAATCAAACTATGTTTGAAATCATTTCAATTTGAAATATGTACATAGATATATTAACATGCAACATTTTGGAGTTTTTGTTCAGTATCGAAAGTTTTTTATGGGTGGTATATTTTTTCTTCTCTAATTGTGATGCAGTTTTTAGTTTCTTTGAGCTATTTCCATACAAAGATCCACATTTTTGGCGATTTTCGGCAGTGTTTCCCACTATATAGTGATACTTTATTCCGTTACCAAATTTTTTTAATTAAAATTGATAGGTTTTTAAAAAATGTGGCAACTTTCCTTCACGTAGTTCACGTAGTTTTCAAAACCATTTCGGTTGATACCCATATGGTAACAAATGATTTCACTTTTCAAATAATTTGAGCTTAATTTCTTATTTTCTGTCTTTACTGGAAAAAGTTTTTATCTTGAAAATGTTATTAGGCAAAATTTTTCCCATGGAGACCGCATATTTCTTTTGGCAAGCAATAGTTATTAGACCTTTAATCTTGATAAATATTGCCCCCAATTCGATAATATTATTGATATTTTAATATATGTAAAAGCCAAAATTGACCTGCATTCTATTAAAATATTTGCTTTTATTTTATTTGGGTGTGAAACCGCAAATTTTCTAAATTTTTTAAGCGATTACATCCGGAAAAAATACTTGTTGGAAGCCATTTCACAAATGCTTTTATCAAGATAAAAAATGCCCACGCACAAATTTCAGACCAGCATGGAAATTATATGGAGAAAAATTTCCACGGCCAACAAAGGCTGGAATGATCCTGAATAGAATATTCGCCTCCTTCCGAGATTAAGAATAAGTGCCCAAGAAACAAGTTTGAGAAAAATAGCACCGGTTGCTGTCATCACAACTTGTAGAAGCCCAGAGCTTCGCTTCCTCTACCGCTGAGAAAGCGCGCCAGCGTTGCCGTGTAGCTTATTATCTCCAAACTTAATAATTAGTTAATAATGAAAATAGCTTCTGATTATAGGTTCCTTAAAATATTGCGGCCAGCAAAAGCTTTGCTTACTCAGACTAATTAACATTTTGTTTAGTAAATTAGCCAATGTACATATGTATGTACGTACGTACGACCATTTACCCAAGCTCAAACCACAAATATCACTGCAATATGTGCAAATTCCAAACAAAGTTTTTTAAAGTTGTTGTGCTTTCACTTCCAGTTTTACATACTTACCCTTGATTAACATGTGATGCCACTTCTTCGATGACAGTTGGTGCAACTAATAATGACAAGATTGTGCGATTGTTCGTTTTTCCCTTAATCTGTGAAGAGATAACAGAAAAAACAAAAAAGAATTAAAATAAAGTACGCAATTTATTTTTGCTTTTACACGTTAAAGCATATGTACATATGTGCTTATATGATCGCAGGCACGTTCGTTTGGAGAACAATACAAAAGAGAGTGGATAGCGCTGCATTGGCAACCCAACACAACCATCGACTCATAATATGTATGTATGTATGTATACATATGTATGTTGACCCCTATTGTTTTATATCCCTGTTGCTCGCAGCAAACTTACGGTAGCTGTAAAAGAACTAATATAGCCACAGTTCCGTGAATAAAAGTCAGACATGGAAACTTTTGCCAATTAGCAAAAATGGGCACGCACACGTCCGCATCATTTTCCTCTATCCTTAACGCCGCTCTAATGTTTGTAATATTCTCAATTAGATTAATGCAAATGCAAATATGCGAACATACGCAATTCTATGTAAATATGCGTGTACATACATTAGACTTGGTTGGTTCTCTTACAACAAAAAAAAAAAAGTCCCCGATTGAACACAGCCAAAGCGAAATGCGAATGGTGATAGATTTATTTACAGCTGTATCATATGTACATAGGTACATACGTCAAAAATGTAACACCTAAAGCGCTGTTTCGATGGGATGTCAAATATAATGGACATACCATAATTTTTTTTTTTAAATTCCTCAATGGCTTTTATAGCAGGGACGTTGGGCGTTGAGCAGTTGCGACGTAGAGCTGTCGGAAAGACCCTCCAACAACAGCGGAACGGAATAAACGATAAATCAATTTACATTAAACAAATAAATAAATAAAAATAAACTTCAAATTTACTTGAAAAGGTCAGCCAGGGAATTGTAATTTTTAATTTTTCATTTCCTATACTCATTCTCATTTCTACTCTCCCGAAAACTTTGACGTTTGCAAGTTTGATGTCAAATTGGCTTCTAGCTGTTTTTAATGTACCTTGCATTCAAAATTAAATTTTTAAAGAAATTCCACTTGCTCTGTTCTACAAGCTTTTGGGAAAGAAATCTTATGCGATAAAATAAATGCCCACTTAAAAACATTTTCTCTTTGACAATTGTTCCGCATGCCATAAATATGAAGGTACGCATGCGATAGCTGATAACAAGCCGAGATGTGGGGGGTTGGATTAAAATAGGGTAAACATAGAGTTATTTGGGGTTAGTAGATTAAGGAGGTTTTCTGGGTAGATAGGATCTTAGAGGGATGTTTAGTATAAAAATATATGCTTTCAATGATTAATCAAATTTTTCGAAACACAAAAATAAAAAAAATAACCAAGAATTTTCGGTTGAGTCGAATCACAAAAATAAAAAAAAAATAACCTAAAAAATTTCGATTGCGTCTATTTTAAGCACTCGCCAAGAGCGAACATTTTTATCACTCCAAACTCCTTTTAAAGTTAGCTTTTAAGCTAAGGAGTGTAATTGCAAACCTTCTCTCCTGACCCAAACTAATGTATGTACACACACACATAGGTGATTAGGTATACGCATAATATTACCTGTTATTAACCCCAAGCATATGTATTTCTACGTATCTAAGCATGCACATACATACATACACACATGAATTAAGGAGTTCTTTGTTCGGCAAACTAAAATTCTGTTGTTCATGCCATTGTTTTTATAATAGTTACGTCAGATGCGTACGAACCCATTTGTATATAGTGTAATATATACACACCAAATACATACAATTCAGCTTCTAATTAAATCAATTAACCTGAATATACACATACATACTATTATAAATGTAAATAGATATACAGCAAGTTGTAATTTAGTGTTGGGACGAAAAATTTCAATAGTGCCTTAAATTTTTGTATTCAAAGGCATGCAATCCCGTTGCCGTGTGTGGTAAAGGTCGTAGATACTTACTAGCTACATACATACATATTTGCTAAGGTTTTCCGTTGCTTTGGTTTGCCTTACTTTGTTGTCGCAACCTTTAAGATAATTATCCGCTTGCTAAAGCGCAGCTAAAAGTGGTGTTATTTCTGCATGGACAAATTGTATAGGAATCATATTTGATCTGAAAGCAAATATATGTTTGGCTCTAATAAGTACTATGGCCAAGTGTTTGGGTTGGTTTGGTTTGGTTTGGTTTGATTTGCTTCAATTAAGTATCCGTCCATCAAGCCCATTAGATGCACATACGCACAACGTCTTCAAAAGAGCCCCAACTAAAAAAAAAATGTTGCTCGATTCGTAGGATTTATATCTAATTCTTGCAAATAATTTTTTCTTCATGATTTAATTATCTAACTATAAAACTATTGTTACACCTCTATTCCGAAATTTCGAAAGGAATTGAAGTGTACACAGTTTTTTTTCATTTCCGAAAATTCTGCAAAAAATCGGATGAGATCTTTACGAATTCTTTAAAATTTCTCTACAATTCAGGATAAACTGGAAAAATGGTTTGCAGGGAAAGTACAGAGCAGCAATGAAATCCTAAAATCGCTCGCCGCACAGTGTGACGGAAATCCAAAAGTGTAGCCAAAATTCGAAGCTTTGCAGAAATGATTCGCAATTTCGTACCTACACTCAGAAAAAGCATTTCCCTAAATCAAGAAACCAGTTTCCTTCAATTCCATTGTATGTACCATCAGCCTGCGTCTGATATTGTGATACCTACATATTTCATGTGCCTCATGAATTAAGTTAAACTTTATTTTTTAAATACGTGACAACGCTCCTAAATACAGTTCACAAATAAAGCACTTTCAAACCCATTTCATTTGATACCAATGTTTCAATATTTCATATAATTTTATTTAATACGACTTTTCAAATAGATGGAAATCCTGTTCAAATTATTTTTAAACCAAAACCTCGTTAAACCCTTCTCGTCTGAGACTTGTATTGTGATACATATTTAAATTATCTAATCTTCTTAATTCAATTTGAATTTAATTATAAAATCAGGTGGCAACACTCCTACATGCAGTTTAAAAATAAAGTTTCTTCAAAGCAATTTTGATTTATATTCCCATTGAAGTAGATAAATTACTTAACCCATTGCTTATATTGAATCTAACTTTGAAACAAGGTAGCAACCCTCTGCAAAATCCTTTCAAACCACAACCTCTTTCGTATGATATCCATATGTACATATATCCTATACAATTTTTTGCCTTTATTTAAGCCGAACTTGCTTTTTGAAACAGGTGGCAAAGCCTTTTCAAACCCATTTCGATTGATGCTCATAGTGTAATAATTGATTTAACTTAAAAATAATTTGAATTAAATTTTTTTTATTAGGTTATTGGAATCTTCTTTTTTATACAAAACGGAAGATAATGTATTTTCAAAAATAATCGTATTACCAATTTCGACAAAAAAAAAATAAGTTTTTGTCGGAAAAATGTGCAACTCGTGAGATTTGCTCATGTACCTTTCAGCAAGTAATTGACTCTGAAAGTATTTGGTATAACCTTCTATATAGTGCAATTTGCGACGTGTGTGTGTGTGTGTGTGCATGTTAGCATTCAACTCACCTCAATTAACGTGTTGCGCACCTCCTTAATGCGTATCTGCAAATCCTTCTGCACCGGTTTCGGCCATGATTTCCGATTGAGTGAACATTCGAGTAGCGGCTGAAAGACTTCATCGAAAAGTAGCGATAAAGTTTCTATTTTGCTGTGCACAGGCAAATCGCCGCAAAGTATTTGCGTACGAAAATTAGCTGCGGTCAGCGTTGTATTCGCGCTTCGACGCACAAAGTAAACGCATTTGCCACGCGGTACGCCATCGAGCGTAGAGAAGCTGCTGGAAGGCGGCGGCATTGGCAGCATCAACACTGCAGCAGCTGTAATTGCAGCTGCGGATGCCATGACGGCGGTCGAACCCGTTGTATTGCTTGTTGTAGTTGTAGTAGTTGTTGTTTGGCCAACATTATTCGATTTTGCTGCTGGCTCTGCTGTTGCAACTGCTGCTGCTGTTGCTGCTGCTGTTGACGTTTGCAATGGATCGGCTTGTGCTGTGCGTGCGTCTTTTATAGATTGTGGTGTGGCGGTTGTTTCTGCTATTGTTGTTGTTGTAGCTGTTGTTGAGCTTAACGTTTGCTGTAGCGCATAATTGTGGTGCAAATCAGTGAGCGCAATTTTCGGTACTAAATATCCGCTATGATTGAGCGTCATAACCAGGAGGCGCTGCCGTGCGCTATATAGCCAATCAAACATAATGACCTGGAAAATTGTGAAGGATCCGGCTTAGAGGCGTCAAATGAGAAAATTTCTGTGAATTAAGTTTTTTTTTTCGCGCACTAAAGATGGCTATGATAAATGACCGTCTAGTGTATGGAAATGTGCGTACAGTTTTTAATAAATTAGGTGTAGATATTGAAGGTATGTATATGAGCGCTCCGTGGTAAGCTGAAAACTTCAATAGGAACAATTTTGCTTCCGAAGACTATGGTAATACCATGCGAATATATTGCGGCAAGTCGTGGTTTAGTAAAACCTACTGGCTCATGACGAATTGCGCTGTTAATGGGTTGTAGCTAAAATATATGTATGACTAGTTAAGAATTACATACATATAAGTGCCGTTTTGTACCAGAATTAATATTTTCTTTTTTTTTTTGAAAGGAAGGGACGAATGTCTCTAGAACGAGAAGAGATAGGGACATATGTATATGGATGTAACGCTTTTGTAAAGATTTTAAGATGAAGATTCAGGAAAAATTATATCGTTGGATAAAATAATTATATTGACCTTTAAAATTACCTCCAAAAATATTTTTTTAAAATTTTTTGGAAGTAGAAACCAGTTTTCAATAATTTTTTGCTGTTTTGCGTTAGGGAAAATATATATTTCCATGGTCCTAAGAACCGAAAAACGCTTTTTAATTTATTTTTAAAGTTCATTGCATGATTTTTTCCCGCCATAAAAAAGAAAAAAAAAAATCAAAAATTTTACCCTGGACGTACAGTTTTGAGGTCAAGGTAATTTTTCATTAAATAGAATCTTTGAAAAAACCTTTACTATAAAATTTCGATAAATTTTTCCTAAAAAAGATTTCTGATTGTGTTGGCGAATTTCCTTTTATATTGTCCCGATTTGGGTTGAGATTCAGTCAATGTTTAACTCTCCTTACTAACTCATGAGAAGACTCATTTGCGATGATCGGTGAACCAAAGTACTTGCAAATCTATTTCCAATTGAGCGAATTATGACGATAACACCGACAGCAAGTACTACTTATTGCATAATCAGGCAGATGGATTGATCCTGCTACTCCCTGGGACGCAGAGGAAACGCGTATTGCAAAACCGGATTCCATTTTTGGTATCCAGATGGAAATACCAGTGGACGCTCGATGGGAGCAGGATCCCGATTTCTATTTCATTTATATGGAAAAAAGTTCAAAACGCCTTCAACAAAAAAAAAAAAATATATATTAAAAATCAATGCGATAATTTTACTAAACCTTTATAATCCTGTTAACTGCATACCCAAAAAAAAAAAAAAAAATCTGGTTAAAAAGCTCGAAATTTAGATACAAATTTCTGAAAATTTTCTAAAACCTGAATAAAGTTTAAAAGTAAGTCTTATATGGTCTTTGTTAAAGCACGAACCATGTTTTTATAAAAAAATGAAAAAAAAATTATAGCTTGAAAAACATTATAAATATTATATACGAAACACCATTCATCCACTTTTAACCGCCATTGTATATTAGACCAAAAAAGTTGCTGTTTTACGCCGGAAATACATAATTTGTTATATTTGAACACCTTCAGCAAAATATTTCAGAAAAATATTAAGATTTACGGGAGCTGGGCCGATTTGAAAATATGAACTTCCAAAATGATGCTGATTTTGAAGATTCAAAGATTGGTTTAAGAAAAACTTGAATAACCGGGCCAAATCTGTACCGAATCAGACTTATGTGGTATCAGTGGAAAGGTATTTTCTCGCCCTTTTGACTTCTTTGCAAAGCAATTCATTCCAAAATTTCAAATATCAACACAACCTATTTCAATTTGGAATGATGCTCGTTTATCTTTTGAGTATATCTCCATGAGTTTATTTTCTAGAAAAAAAGGGGACAATACCTTGCCAATGATATCTCATAAGTCTAAATTGGTAAAATTTTGGCAGAGTTATTCAAGTTTTCCTCTTAACCCATCTTTGAAAAACGTTCAAAAGCAGCATCAAAAGTCTATATTTTTATCATAAAAAACACAATTTTTTCAGGTATTTTCCAAACGCGTAAATCTTAATACTTTTTAAAAATATTTTTGTGCAAGTCTTAAAAAATACCGATTTTTTTTTGTATGGGGAGTGATGAAGTCGAATTTACATATATGTATGAGTGTTAGCAAATACATATGTATGTATGTACATAACTTTGTCACTCTCAAGTACTTACCCGATACGATTCGGTGGCCATCATTCTATGCCATTTGTCCTGCTTCAGACGCAACGAGCTCAATGTGAACGAGCTGATAAATTCTAGGCGTGGATCGTTGGCCGCTAACGACAGCAAAGCTCTTGCTGGGCATTGCTCAGCCTCCGCTTCCACTTCATCTGCGGTGGACATTGAATCGCTTTAATCGCACGCACACTCGCGCGCACACACACACACACACACACACACACGCGCAAGTTTAATTGGTATATGTTCTTTTTCGCAAAGCTAAACTATCCGCGCCTCGAGAGGCACACTTGCCATTCGAGCTGTTAAATGTAAAGTGACCGCTAATGCCAATTGTGGTAGAGGCAACGGTTCGTTGCAGTAGCGCTCTTGCGGGTCCTAACGGCGGGCATAAGCGTAGTAAGACCAAGCGTTGGGTTACATGACCAAGGGCGAGTTAAGGGTCCACCCCTTAGTGTTAGGTGCAAGTACATAAATGGACGGAAACGCAGCAACTTGCCGCTGTGGGGTTAGTGTAAACCAGTGATGAGAGAGAGTGGAGTGGTGCGGCCGGCTATTGGCGCTGCTCAATGGTATCGATCAAACTTCAAATTTTAATTTGAAAACTATGTGAAATGCCATGAACAGAAGTGACGAGCTGCCAGCGAATGCGGTAAAGTTGCAGCGCGCAACAGCTAATCAGATGCGAGCGTTCAAGCGAGTCAAGGGAAGAACTAGAATTTTAGAATTTTAATGTTGCGCACCACGAATTGAGGCCTGCAAGGTAATTGGGGCAAATGAACTTACCCATGTACGTACATACATGCATGCATACATATGCATTTACATACATACGCACATGCATGCGTTTACGTAAGAGTAAGGTTACATATATGTATGCATATCTGCACGTAGAGTTTTGCAGCAATTTCCGGCTATTGCCATCGCTCAACGGAAGTCGGAAGTGACGGGAGTTTGGCTGATGGCATGGAAAATACCAAAAGAACTCGAGCGAAAAGCACTATTTGCTGAATGAGTAACTGCGTGTGGCGTCAAAGCGCAATACTTTACTCATTCCACTCGTCCTTTATGTGCCACAAGTGAGCGAGCGGCAGGCTCTTAAATTGCGAATCATGAGAAATGGCCGCAAATTAAAGTTAAGTTCAGAGTGCACAAAGCGGCAGGCAAGTGCGTCCGTATAACGGCCTCATAAACTTCAGCGGCAAATGCCAACAATAAATGCCACCGCCAGCTATGTGCGCTCACTCACAATGAACTCGGCTCGTGCAAAGCGCTGCGCCGCGACGCGCCGCGCCGGCACAGATGCAAAGACGCGCTGCGCCGCGCCGCGCCGCGCCAGCTATAAATGTTTTGTACTCGTATGCATATAAATTATGTATTAAGTTGAGCAGATGCCAGCGTGGCGTGCGATGAGACGGTTGGTCGTTGGCTGCCTGAGAATGAGTGGTGGTGGGGTGGTACAGCATGCAAATATGTAGTTCGTAATCGTAGCAGGAGTCGCAGTATTGCTTTGTTGGCATTGGTGTGCAGATTTAAATGTACTGAAAAACGGATTGTTTGTGTCTGCTTTTTTCCTTGGTTAATTCGTTAATTAAAGTTTTTTTTTTTTACATAACCAATAACTGGTTATAACACATTGCTGACCATGAGTCACTGAGTTAAGCCACAAATGCTGTAATTTGCGGTTGGCAATGTGTTGCCTGTTGGCAATGTTAACTGGACTCACTGTAACCGTGTCAGTCACAACTGGCAGGGACATGTGATGACTACATACATAAGTACATATGTATTTAGGTGAAGGGGACCCAATAAACATTTTTGTTATATCTCAATTTGAGATGCATTTGAGAATCGGTCATTTTCTCAAATCTCAAACGTTAATTCCCAAATGCATCTCAAATTTCAAATTTCAAATTTTCAAATTGCGAAATGTTGAATTCTCAACTTTTTCTCAAACGTGAGTGGAGCGGAACGAAATGAAACCCAGTTAATCTCATTGAAATATTTGTATAGTGTTACATGTGTAAGAGAAACACAGTTTTTATAGGAAAGGAATTTTTAATTATGCAGTTTAACAAAAAAAATACGGTTGATGTAAAAAATTAGTTGCATAGTTTGTTTTGAGATTAGACAAATTGCGAATTACAGCGACTGCGTGGTCGAAGAGCCATTTTGCGACTGATGCAGCAGACTACCGATGTATGTACTACGACATCTGTGCCATGTTGCCACAGATGGAACGTAACGGAATGCTAAAAATTTTTTTCTCCAATGTTTTTCAAACCGTTTTTAAATTGCTAAACAATGTTTGAGAAAAATTTGAGAAAAAGTTTAGTGTCAAATGATAAACAATGCTGAAAACCAAATTGAGAAATACGATTTTCTCAAACGTTTGAACATTTTTGTTCCATTGTTTGTTGGGAAGGCTTATCAACTTTGTGCGATATGTCGGTAACACTTGGTCAGGTTGCCGGCCTGTAGAGAGGTGGGTTAAAGGTGGTGAATAGGGATTTGTTCCATTCAATTGTAAGGTTATAGATAAGATTTTTAATTAATTAATATAAAAATCTGATAAAGCTATTTAAACTTGTAATGAGAATGGAATGAAAATATATTGTATCTTGAAGTCAGCAGCAAGCCTGCAAAATATTAGCCTTTTATTTTAATTGTAAGAGCCCACGCATCGATCGCCAAGTGACCCACAGCACATTAGTCGAATAAGACCAATTCTTGTTAAAAATTCTGGGTTCGGGAAAAAAGTTTGGTGCATATTATTAGATAATAAATCCGTTAATGCAAA